ACTCCTTCAAGCTCTTCATTCGCAATATTGTCATCATCATCTCCTTGGTCAACAACATCTGGAACATTATTGTTGTTATTGTTGTTGTTGTTAATTTCTTCTTCCATAAATAATAATCAAAACTTTTATATACAATTCTAAACCTGACAAAGAGAAAAAAGTTTAAACATTTTTAAATCAAAAAAATCAAAAATTATTATTTATGCAATTAGCACCCCTGATAAAAAAGATTTACTGAATTACTGACATATTAATATTAATATTATTTGTACTTGCCTTATTCGTTTTATTCGAATTTATTCATTTTTATTCTCGTTTTATTCGTTTTATTCTCGTTTTATTCGAATTTATTTGAATTATTTTTTACTCGAATTATTTTTTACTCGAATTATTTGTTTTATTCGTTTTACTCGAATTATTTTTCCCTAACTGCTACTTAAGATATGATATTATTTTAGTACAAAGAGCTTTAGAAATAAATATTTAACCAATAACTTAATTACAATATAAAAGAGCTATTGGTTTATTAAATTTAACCAATAATTAACTAAAAAATAGGATTAATTTTAAAAGAATATCTGGTAAATATTGGTGCTTATAATATTTATTAGTTATAAAGGAATATTAGTTTCTTGGTAAAAAGTTTTTTATGTTTTTTGAGATTTATATGTTTCACGACCAATTAACTTTTTACTTGATCAATTAGATTCTTTGATGTCGGTTTTTGGCTCCATTAAAAAACAGGATTATTTTTTTTTTATTATCAAAGAAACTTTAAAAATGTAAAAAATCAATCAAGTATTTTTTTGAAAATGTAAAAGATTCTTTGTGATATCGGATTTTTGGCTCCATTAGAAAAAAGGATGGTTCATAAGTCTTTTTAAAATCATAAAAAAGCCTTTTTTTTTGGAAATGTAAATAATTTTAATACTAATCAAAATTGTTATAATGAATGCCACGTTTAAATAGGATTAGAAACTTTAATACATAATAACAATAATAATAACATTGTTATTTTGATGCCAATCAAAATCACAAATGAATATTCTATAGTAATGGTCCTTTTTAAGGAGACTGGTGGTATTGGCACAGCAAACCGTCTTTTTCATGTGTCCTGCTATTATTCCAAAAATATTATGGTGGCTGTGATAATAACGAGATCGACGCTGATCGTGGAATAATTGGTTTCCTAATTAATGCCGTAGAAATTAAATTTTTTGATATTTTCACGGATTGAAAATATCATTATTATTTAAAAAAAACTTGTGACGTCAATTATGATAAAATAAATAAGTCAAATTACTTATACTAAGCTAAAAACGATTTTTTCACAGCATGCTTATTAATTTAAAATTACAAATGCCCAATTACGGCGCTAAAATAATGTAATAACGAAATTTATATAAAAATGAGTGTAAGAACTGATTTAAATATTCCTTTATAAAAATCTCGTCAAAGAAACAATTTTTATTTAAAATTAGAATAAATAAAATTTTAACGCATTAATGAATTAAAACAAAAAAAAAAATGAATGACACATTGTTAAATGAATACATTAGTAATATTACAAATTTATTGGAATCAGAAGAGATTTATGATGTAAAGATTAATGTTGGAATAAAACCAGATACTAAAGAATTTCATGCTCATTCATCTATATTATATGCGCGTTGTCCATTTCTCAAAACTGCCTTGTCCAAAGCAAAAAAAGAAGATGGGTTTTATGTTTTCAATATAGAAAATATTAATGAACTTAATTTTGAAACAATTCTCAAGTAAATGATTTAATTGTCTTTGTTTTTTTAATTGAATATATGATGAAGCTTAATATTTACATATTATTTTTATTTTAAAAAAAGATTTTTATATACAAGCAAAGTTAATTTTAACAATCATACTGGTGATCATATGTTGGAATTATTAAGCGCAGCTGAAGATTTTGGTCTTGCATCACTTTTTATTCATGCAATGAAATACTTTATTCAAAATTATGATGATTATATAAATCAAAACACTGTCAAAATCCTACGACCAATTTATAATAACAGAAATTATGATATATTGAAAATTACTTGTTTAGAAAAAATTTGCAATGATAGTGGAAAATTATTTAAATCAAACGAATTTGAATTATTAGAAAAACCAATTTTATTGGAAATTCTTGGAAAAGATAATTTTTATGTTGATGAAATTGAAGTATGGGAAAATGTTCTTAAATGGGGATTAGCAAAACATACAGAAATAAAGGGTAATGTTAAATATTGGTCGTCAAAAGACTTTCAAAATCTAAGAAATACGTTAAAAGGATTAACTGGCTTGATTAGATTCAAGGATATTTTTAAAGAAGATTTTTATACCAAAATTAGACCATATCAAAAGCTTTTTCCTGAGGATATATGGGACAAAGCTCAATGCTATTATTTTATTTCTAAAGATGCTTCGATTTCAAAATTATTACCATCAAGAGATCCAAAAATTCAACCCATGATGTTTAATCAAAAGATCACTTTGCTTTTTGCAAGCTGGATTGACAAAAAAGATCCACCATATAGCTCAATCGATCAGGTCAAATATAAGTTTAAACTTTTGTATAAAAGTAGTAGGGATGGTTTGGATGCAAAAACATTTCATAATAAATGTGATCACATCGTCAAAACTCTTGTGATTGCAAAAATACAAAATACTAAACAAATAGTTGGAGGCTTTAACCCTTGGAATTGGGAAGGGAATAATCTATATAAAAATTCAAATAGCAGTTTTATATTCAACATAATTGATAAAAATGATGTTAAATTTAGTTATGCTAATGATGATGGTAAAAATGCAATTTATTGTTATCCCGACTATTTTCCTGTTTTTGGATATGGTTACGATCTTAAATTTGATAAAGATAGAAATGGAGGTGGAAGTATCTCTAGTTATCAAAGGACTTATGGCAAAATTGATATAACAAATAATAGTAAATTTAATGAATTAGAAGTTTTCGAAGTAATTAATAAAGATAAGACCTGTTTAAAACACCACGACCCTTTTAATAATTTTCTTAGAGAATATATTCTAAAATTTAAATAACATATTGCTCAAATATTATTATATTGTAATCATTTAACAAAAAAATAAATATTTTACTATAAATATCAGCTTTTTTCTCTCAATTACTGGTTTCTTTATGGATAGTTTACCAAAGAAATTCTGAAATTATAATGCAATTTTTGTAGAATATTTAAAGGATTCATTTATCTGTAAAAAAAAAAGAGATCGAGATATTACTGCCGCAAAGAATAACCAAAAGTTCATTCATAAAATAATATGAATTTTTTATAAATACCCATCCTTAATTCATTTTTTTTATAAATACCTTCCTTTTTTTATAAATATCTTTAACACAAAAAAAGATTTAACATTTGCCGTGTCACGATCACCTTCCAAAACCCACAAGTCGTGCGACTTCCGTGCAGGTTTCTCGCCGATCGTCTCCTTTTGCGTCTAGCCGCGCCTGGTCTTTGCGATTTTTGGCGCGATCAACGTTAGCAAAAAATGTGTCGTAACCAAAAATCTAACTTTATTAACATTAAGGAAGAATCGTCTTTCCATATTAGCGCAATTTTGAAATATTAGAATTACTAATTAATTGAATTGTATAACTTTCTAACAAGTTAATTAGTTTCGACTAAGAAAACTAAATAAATAAAATAGTAATATTTTATTTAAATAAACTTTTATCTTCTTTAACCAAAATTATTCGCCAATACCAAAATCAATTCGTTGATCCCCTATTCATTCTGATCCACGCAAAAACAAAAATCATTGTTATCACCAATTAAAATACGCTCTCCCAAATTTAATCGGTGACACTATATCAGATTCTTGTAAACTTAACACTTCTTAGTTTGGGTTTCTATTCAAAATAATGTTTATTATTATAAACAAAATAAAGATTTTATTCAATCATTATTATTATTTTCAGGACTAGTGATGATATTAAAAAAAAATTTTATATGATTACAAAACATATTTATTCTCTTTCCACTTGTTTTCTTTTAAGTACAGCTTCATAGAGTTTCTCTTCCAATTGAATCCTCTTTTCCAATAATGATATATATTGTTCTTGTTGTGATAAATCTTCAGAGGCTTGTGTATTAATATTAGCTGTATCTTCAATCATCATCCTTGAATTGCTACTTGATTTGGTTTTTTTTGATTATTGCTTGATTTATGAATTTTGCCTATTATTTTCATTTTGGATAGTAAATGGATTATCATAAGAATAGCATAAAGAAAACATGAATTATTTATTACCTTTACGTTTAGCTGATTCTACATATTTTTGTGTTTGACTTTTATTTTTTGAAGAGCTTGAAACATTATATTTTGTTGTTATCTTGATTTGATTCCATTGATTTAAATCAAATTTTGAAGAACTAAAAATTAAGCATTAAAAATTAAGCATAATTAATTAATTGAAATAAAAATAAGAAATTATAAAAAGTTTTTAAATTATTTACATGTTTATAGCAGCTAGCAATGACATTCTGGTTCCATCTCTATTAATATTTGCATGTGAAGCTTCCACAACATTAGTATTATTTCTATTTATGTTCCATAATTCATATGGCATCTTTGAGTAATGCTTATTAATTGATGCAAGGATCCATAACCCATTCTAAATAAAGATTATAAACATTAGGTATATTATAAATATTGAATTATATTATTGCTAATTAATAATAAAATACCAGTAATAGATTTATTTTTGGTATTATTAAGTACACTAAAAGCTTCTTCAACTTCAGCTTCCATAAGAAATGGAAATGATTTCATCAAATTTCTTTTTTCATCATCAATATTTTTTATTTTATTGACATTCCTATTTAAAAATCAAGATAAAAAAAAATTTAAATTAACATTTATATTAGTCGCATGACATTTCCCGCCGATCTATAGGAGGTTGTAAAACATAGTAAAATTTGGATGATCTGCATCATAG